AGTTGGATCGATGAGATGGTTCATCTCGTTTATTTGGTCCCACTTCGGTCCACTTGTTCCGAAAAGACGAAAAGAAAAGACGGTCGTGGGTTATTTTTCAATCCAACACAACTGGAATATAATCGGGCCAAGCAGGTAACTCTTCAATTCAATTCATTTCCCACAATTTAGATGCTTGCAATGATAGATTCGCAATTAACCACTCCAAGTGTTTTTAAGTATCTTATCAAAAAGCTGGTGGGTTCAATTGTACATCAATGTAAACTTAAAGAATTTAGACTCGGCCTATTCAAAATTATATCAATGCTATCGTTGACAAACTCGCTTCAGGCTATAAAGCCTCAAAAATGGCAAGGAAGGTGTTACGCTCGTTGAAAGATGAAAGTATTCAAGTATTCATAGTATTCAAAGTTAAATAATAAAACAAAATTAAAACTTTTAGAACATGAATGGAATGAGGAGATTATTGAAGATATTTACAAAGAAGTTGGGCTCATTCTAAAAAAAGGTGAAATCATCAAGGAAATCATCGCAACCGGTCATGCTCTAGAGCATTATCCAGCCTTTTTGTATGCTACCATTTTCGAAAGAGAGGTGGGTTTAAAAAGTTAGGTAATTCCATTTTACCAGCCATTTGTTGAGAAAAACTTTTCGCTGCTCTGGTACAGAAAGGAAAAGGATTTAGTATTCGTTTTAAAAGTCGGAAGTAAATTTTTCGAAGAAATTCAGAAATCGAACGATGAATCACGTGGATCTGGATGGATGGTCGTATTTGGCAAAAACCGCTTCTTGGTACAAGGTTTGGCGGATGTTCTGAACCAGGATTATCTTCATCTCAAGGTTATCGAACAAAGAATGTCATTTGATGAAGCCGAGGCAGATTGTGCGAGTCGAAAGAGCCATTTAGTCTCTATTCACAGTCAGGAAGAGCACGATTTTGTTCAGGAACTCGGTAAGAAATCGAAATGATTCAATTCTGGAAATTCATGATTTTCCTAGAAATTTATGCTTTATAAGCCAAAACAATCGATATTTATTTCAGCAAAAACTGTTTCTTGGTATGGTTGGTTCTGGATCGGACTGAAGGTTGAATTTTTCTTATTGAAAGACATAAATAAATATATAGAAAATAATGATTCTTTCAGCCATTTCCGGAAGGCTTTTTGTCAAAGACCTATTCGTTTGATTGATAGTTCTTTAATAGAAATAATGCTTTCAATTGACAAACTACAGGGTGTTCCACAATTACTGATACCTGATAACTAGCTTGAAAAAACTTTTTTTAGTAGAAAACTTGTGATGAAACTTTTATTGTTAACAAATTAGATAGTAAAGTAATGAAAAAACAACAATTATTGGATATGTCCTCCTTTCGCGTTGATACAGAGCTGAAGGCGCTTCCGGAAGTCGTCGACCGTGGCACGCAAGTAGGGGAGATCCATCACCGAGGTGGGATGAAGAGAATGCGAAACTGATTTGTGTGGATTAGAAATGCCGTAAATTCGATCGTTTGCGTGTTCAACACTTGCTGGACCGTAAAAACTTTCTCATGGGTGAAAAGAATCCTTCGGTGAGCTTTTCCAGGAAACCAAGCAAGAAGTTGAGCACAATGCTGTTCTCTCTTAAGTTCTGTAGCATCGGTAATTCCGTGACACTTGTTTTTCTTGAAAGCTTTCATTCCTAGCCGGATTCGAGCCGGATTCGAACACCCACGCTTATGTGAGATTTTCGACGTGAAATAATCAATATTTATTCCAACTTGCAATGCATAATTAATCCAAAAACATTTCGATCAATCTGAGAAAATTTCTTTTTGTGGGATAACGCAGAGTGTTTTATCAAAAGATTTCCATCAGAAATGAACTTTCAGCTTCATAGCTCCGATGGGATATGGCGGGCCTATTCTCCTACCAGTCAGTATCATTTTATCTGCGAAAGGAGCTTTCAATCGATAAATATGTTCCTTTCTGTGGACAAAAACGAATAAATCCCATTTTGTTCAATCTTCTGAAAACACACAACTGCACATTAACTTTTTCTTTATTTTTGAACTGCTTCTTCAAAATCTCTTATAAAAAGTTTTCCCGAAAACCCAGAATTCCGCCTGAGGCTGCAAGTATTTCGCTCTTTTTTTTTTATTTCGCTCCTGAATAGACTATTAGATAAACGTGTTGAAGATCGATGGACATCAGCATGAGGAAACTGACAATTCTTCGTGAAGGTCGCTCTTCTCGTCCCTCAACTCGTCGATTTGTCTTTGAGTTTTTTTCCCTTTTTGTTCTCACTGTTGGTTTTGTAGGCGGAGATTTTTGTCCCTTTTTTGATAATCTTCCACCAATTTTCCGTTCTATCGATCCTCTTTCTTTCGATTTGCGGTAGAGCTTTGCAGTCGCCGAAAACGTGATTCCAAACATCTCTGCAGCATCCCTAGACGACATTCCTTGACTCATTTTGGCTACCAAACGTTCCTTCAAGTCGTTAGACAAGATTTTCTTTGAAGGCATCTAAAGAAAACCATGTATTCAACAAGTGTGTCCAAAATTATGACCCCCTAGAAAGTGGGTGTCTCGGATAAAGTAGATCAAAAATACATGAGAATCAAACTAAAAGCCAAATTCATGCGGAAACAATGAACAGGGATAAAAACCGTATAAGACAGTCGCTTTCGGTAAAAAAATCTATTATCAGCAAAAAGAACGAACAAATTCTAGTTCGAGTTCGAGGTGTGTCCAAAGTTATGAACCCCTACTTTACATACACTATCTACTTGCTTAATCCTTCAGATTAGCCAAAAAGAGACAAAAAATCTAAAGCTCGACCGGAAAATCTTCGCCTACAGAACCAACAGAACCAAGCATAAATCGAATTTTTGAGAACTTCAGGAACAAAAATCAAAGACAAATCGACGAGTTGAGGGACGAGAAGGGCGACCTTCACGAAGAATGGTCAGTTTTCTCATGCTGAAGTCCATTGATGTTCAACACGTTTATCTAATAGTCTATTCAGGAGCGACGAGAGAGCGAAATACTTGCAGCCTCAGGCGGAATTCTGGGTTTTCGGGAAAACTTTTTATAAGAGATTTTGAAGAAGCAGTTCAAAAATAAAGAAAAAGTTAATGTGCAGTTGTGTGTTTTCAGAAGATTGAACAAAATGGGATTTATTCGTTTTTGTCCACAGAAAGGAACATAAGATATTTATCAGAAATGAAAGCTCCTTTTGCAGATAAAGCGAAACTGATGGGCAGGAGAATATGCCACGCATTTCCCATCGTAGCTCCGAAGCTGAAATTTGTTCATTTCTCATGCAAATCCTTTCATAAAACAATTTGCCTTATTCCTCAAAAAGAAATTTTCTCAGATTGATCGAAATATTTCTTGATCAGTTATGCATTGCAAATTGGAATAAATATTGATAATTTCACGTTGAGGATCTCACCGCAGCGTGGGGGTTCGAATCCGGCTCTCCAACCTTCCAATTCGTGAAATCCACCGAACTGCCATCCGTCCATTCAAAAGCATTTTCTTTGTTCGGATTTCTCTGAATAAAGAAATTTTTATTCTTAACATTGATATTTCGATGCGATTTTCCTTCACAGAGAGCCTTCCGAAAATGGCTGAAAGAACCATTACTTTCTATTTATTTGTTTATGTCTTTCAATAAGAAAAATTCAACCTTCAGGCCGATCCAGAACAAATGATCCGAATCAACAGTTTTCGCTGAAATCAATATCGATTGTTTTTGGTTTATCAAATCAAACGACCATCCACCCCGATACAGATCCAAGAGATTCATGGTTCGATTTCTGAATTTCTTCGGAAAACATTAGTCCTTTAGACAAATGCTTAATCTATTTCTATTAGGTCTTTGACAAAAAGCCTTCCGGAAATGGCTGAAAGAATCATTATTTTCTATATATTTATTTATGTCTTTCAATAAGAAAAATTCAACCTTCAGTCCGATCCAGAACCAACCATACCAAGAAACAGTTTTTGCTGAAATAAATATCGATTGTTTTGGCTTATAAAGCATAAATTTCTACGAAAATCATGAATCTTCCAAATTGAATCATTTCGATTTCTGACCGGATTTCAGAACAAGATCGTTCTCTTCTTGACTGTGAATGGAGACTAAATGACTCTTTCGACTCGCACAATATGCCTCGGCGTCATCAAATGAAATTCTTTGATCGATAACCTTGAGATGCAGATAATCCTGGTTCACAACATCCACCAAACCCTGTACCAAGAAGCGGTTTTGGCCAAATATGACCATCCATCCGGATCCAAGAAAGTGATCGTCCGATTTCTGAAAAAAATGTTTTCTCAAGTCTCAGTCGACAAGAGATACGAGTCAAACTCACATTTGGGTCTCCAGGCCAGAGATTTTGCTCTGCAACGCGTCGATTTTCCCTTCGAGAATACAACTCAATCAATGAGTGAGTGCTTTGAAGAATCTGGCTCGAAAACCCAAAACTCACAGAAAGGCATCTGCTCATCTCAAACCAGAACCCAGCTCATATATAAGAAGGTGATTGATGATCATTGTTTGAAAGCATCTCTCTTCATTACGATCATTTAATAACTATCCACAATAATTTTTTCATTCAAACCCACACGGGTTTCTGCTTTTTCTGATCTCCGAAAAATCTCCGCCTACAAAACCAACAGTGAGAACAAAAAGGGAAAAAAACTCAAAGACAAACCGACGAGTTGAGGGACGAGAAGAGCGACCTTCACGAAGAATTGTCAGTTTCCTCATGCTGATGTCCATTGATGTTCAACACGTTTATCTAATAGTCTATTCAGGAGCGAAGAGAGAGCAAAATACTTGCAGCTTTAGGCGGAATTCTGGATTTTTGGGAAAACTTTCTATCTGAGATTTTGAAAAAAAAATTCAGAAATAAAGAAAAAGATAACGTGCAGTTGTGTGTTTTCAGAAGATGGAATAAAAGGGGGATTTATTGGTACTTGTCCACAGAAAAAAACATAAGACATTTATCAGAATTGAGAGCTCCTTTTGCAGATAAGACCCAACTGATAGGTAGGAGCATACCCCCGCCATTTCCCATCGTAGATCCCAAGCTGAAATGAGTTCATTTCTGATCGAAATCCTTTGATATAACACTTTGCCTTATTTCACAAAAAGAAAGACCCATTAGTTTCTATATATTTATTTATGTCTTTCAATATGAAAAATTCAACCTGCAGTCCAATCCAGAACAAATGATCCGAATCAACAGTTTTCGCTGAAATCAATATCGATTGTTTTTGGTTTATCAAATCAAACGACCATCCACCCCGATACAGATCCAAGAGATTCATGGTTCGATTTCTGAATTTCTTCGGAAAACATTAGTCCTTTAGACAAATGCTTAATCTATTTCCTTAAAAAACGCATAAATCTGCCCGCAACCTCTTGATTTCGGCCATTTTGTTTTCTCTTTCAAATTGTTAAGAAGGGAGTTGATTGGATTGAGTGAAATGGTTATTTGGGAGTCAAAAAACTGTTTTCTCAAGTCTCAGTACACAAGAGATACCAAATAGACTCACATTTGGGTTTCGGGGTGAGAGTTCTTGCTCTGCAACGCGTTGATTTTCCCTTCGAGCTCTCCAATCTTGGCTTTTCCCTCTCTCACTTCCGTATTTTGAGTTCTTCTGAAAAAAGTTCGGATCTTAACTACCGTAAATACTGTAATTGGACCCCACCCCTCTAATAATACCCCACCCTAGAGGGGGAGGGGAAAAATAATACCCCACCCCTCTAATAATGCCCCACCCCTCTAATAGTACCCCACCTAACGCGTAATTACAAACAACGCTTTTAAAGCGGAAAATTTTCATGTATTTTCAGAAATCGTTTGTATTTTTAATTTTATTCATAAATTTGTTGTTTTAAAATTTGGGGTGGCTACTTTGCGCCAAATTTTTTGCGCAGCTCGCCATAACTTTCTTCTAAGTGGGCCAATCTTTATGATTGTAGATCTCAACAAGTGCAACAAAGTAACACCAAAATCATAAAGATTGGCCCACTTAGAAGCCACTTGAACTCGGAGGGGGATTGATATCGGTTTGGCTGAATGGATCGTCGAGCCGAGAAGAAACGAGTGACACGCCGGATTATCTGGAATGAAGCGGCTAATCGATTCGAAAAAGCTGAAACTTCTTTCAAAAGAAGCCATGGCTGGATGGAGTCGTTCTTGAGGCGCCACCACCTTTCTTTGAGGGCACCAACAACAGCTTGTCAAAAGCTGTCAATTTGAGAAGGCCATCGTCAAGCACATTCTGAGGCTGAACAAGACAATCAAAGAAGGCGATTACAAGCACATTGTTGCTTGCGATGAGACGGCGGTTTGGCTGGATGCTTCGACGAGCAAGTGCATCGAAGCGGTTGGAGCCAAAGAAGTTGATGTTCTCACCCGCGGCTACGACAAGATGAATATATCCGTGATGCTCACTGCTCGTTCTGATGGGAAAAAGTTGCGTCCTTTTGTCGTGGTGCCTCGGAAGACGATGAACAAAAAAATCGAGACCAAGTTCCAATCGAAGTTATTGCTCTATTCGAAAGAGAAGAAAAGCAAGTACTTCGATAACGAGATCACGGCGAAATACTTGCAACACTCTTTCGGTGGACTGATCTTTAATCTATTGTACTTACAGGCGATGAGAAATGCTCGGACAGAGGCAGAAATCGAGGACCTCTTGGCTTGGCTGAGGACGAAATTGGCTGTTGCAAAGATGGGCAATGATGTTTCGATCAAAGCAGCCGCTCGCATCGACGAGATTTCAAGGACATCGAGGAATTGATGAGCAAGAAAATGATGAATTCATTGATTCAGATGTGTCTATTGATTTAGCTTGTTAGTTGGTTTTGTTTCGTTTTGCTGTTAAATTTTCAAATGGTTAAAACCAATAAAAACTAAAGTAAAAGTTGGCTTTTGAACAAATTATTGACATGTATCCTGATTTGGTAACTTGAAGAGTGGTGTAAAATAGTAACCCACCCTCTAATAGTGCCCCACCCTCTAATAGTACCCCACCCTAGAGGGGGGAAATAGTACCCCATGGGGTCCAATTACAGTATTTACGGTATATATCGGGCTTGTCAAAATCACTACTCAAAATCCAAAAAAGATGAGCTTGAATTCTTCAAGATTTTTGATTTCACCCACATTTCCCTCTCGAGTCCGATGATTTTTCCTCGGGCCTCGACGAGTTCTTGTTGGGTTTCATTCCTGAAAACTCTTATTATTGAGACACTCAAGCCTATTTCTTGTTTATCGTATCAAATTCGCTCTTCTCCCAAAAAACCAACAGATTTTTTTTCACAAGATCTCAAGAGAACGGTGTCCGGGCAATCCTTTTTACAGCTCAACTCTAAGATGAAAAAAATCTCTTTCTAATCAACTTTAAAGTACTACGATCACCAGACAGAATCTCATCTCGATCATTCGGAGATCTGAATGATTGACAACTTAGCTATTAGAAGGGAAAAGAATACGTGGATGGATCCACTTGAACGCTTTCTTGAATGGACGATGAAATTTGATTGAAAAGGATGAGAATCGTGATGAACAGACCGACGGCCATCACACCCATTCTGCTGAATTGGTTGATTAGTTTTGAATTCGGGAAATGGGAAGAACGAATGGAGGGACGATCCGATAAACAATTGTTTTTTCGCGGAAAAGAGCCTTTAAGAGCGCTGAAATTGTTTAGAAAAGCGACCGAAAAGCGAGCGAGCGAGTGATTCTTTCACGGCTTAATGAGTCAATCGCTAGCTCAATAGCTCAATAGCTCATCTTGCAACTAATCAGCTCGGTAGTTGAGTTTGGTATTCTTATGCTCAAACTCAAAATTTATGGATTACATATTTTAACAGAGCATCTCCCTTATCATCAAGTTCACAATCTTTCTTACTAAGCTTTCTGTCAAATGGTTTTAGGTATTTGAATCTTGAGACAAGTCGAATTGTTGCAAACCGTGTTCGCCAATTCTGTTGTGCATATTGTCTTAGCTTCAGACCACTTGCTCACTCGCAAAGTAGACTTGTGTTTCGGTTGGCTCTTTTCGGTTCGGTTTCGGTTTCGGTTCAACCGAAGTCAACCGAAATCTTCGGCTCGGTTCGGTTCGGTTGAACCGAAAAGATGAATTTTCGGTTCGGTTCAGTTTCGGTTCAACCGAAAACTGAGTTTGTTGGTTCGGTTCGGTTTCGGTTGACTCAAATTTTTAGCGATTGTACTTTGAAAAGCTAATTGATTTCTTAACAAATTTATCAACAAAAATGCAACAATATAAACATAACAAACGTATATAACAGTATATTTATCCAGAATTATCTTCCGAATCAATTGCAAACCATTCATTTTCGCCTTCGTCCTCGGCACACTCATTTTGTGATAGATCTGCATAGCGGGAATAAGCAGTTCTCCAACCGTAACGTGCTTCTTTACTTGATGGCCATGTGTTTCGCCTAAATCCAATAGCATTTAGTCATATTTGGAAAAAAATGTGATACCTCACATGATCCTGGTTACATGAAATATTGAGAAGTTTAATAGCCGTGTCTTCAGAAATCCGTTGACGACGAGGATTATTTAGATAAACACCGGCGATACTAAAATAAAATAAATTAAATTAAACAAGTAAAATTTACGAAAACACTCTTTCAGAGTTGACACTTGTAGCAGGCGCCGTCAGGAGTTCTTGTGCTATCCGATATAAGAGTTCAAAATCCATTTGATGATTTCTCCACCATTCGTAAATGTTCGCGTTTGGGGGTGGTCGGGCTGTGTCGATTGATTCAAGAAAACGAGTCAATTCTTGCTTAAAAAATTCTATAAATACATAAAACTTTGAAAACAACCTGTAATTGGTTTGTTTTTTTTCGTTTTACAGTTGGACCTTTGAAGAACATGGAGAAATCATCAGTTTTAGTAACATCTTTTGTGGCCAATTCTTGTGCAATATTTTCGTGAAGATTCGTTGAGCATAATGAATCTAAAAAGAGAAAAATGCACTAGTTTAATTAGTAAATATTTACCATATTTTTGGACAAAGTCCGTTTCAATATCATTCCATTCAGTATTATCGTAGAATGAACAGCCATTGAATCGGGGGTCAATAAATACAGCATACTGAAGAAAACGCATGTTGTAAATGTCAGTGAAGTGTTTATCCATCCCTTCAGTAAAATCTTCCAAAACTTTTGATAAAGCTTCTTCATTTGCCAAAAACCTAAACTCATAGATTACAAGTAAAAAAGTATTCTTACATTTTCGTTTGGAATTGCAACTTTTTCAGAGTCGGGATAATCATCGCAATGTGAGCATCCTCATAAGACAACTAAATCAGTAAATTTTAATTACCGTTAGCAAGTTTACTTGTCTAGACGCTTCGTCAAATGGTGCAAGGATAGCACAAATTTTAACGATGAGCACAAAGTCCTCGTTTGATAGAATCTCTTCCTTTTGTGAAAGCCAAAACTGAGTAAAGGCAGCCCTCTAAAAACGATTCAAATTATAAGATACTTTAAACGCACCAATGCTATGCAATCAGATAACATATAATAAAGGGAATTCCATCGTGTTATGCATTCTGAACGAGGAACCAATGGTTTTGATCCAGACTGTGTGCAATAACTAAATTTGACTTATAGACAAAGAAAAAACCACAAGCCTGATAAACATTTTTCGATAGAAGCTGTGCCGATGAAATAAATTGATCGTTTCTTTAAATTTACCGAGAATCGGCTTGAGTGAAGCAATCTTATAGATTTTTTGCACGACCAGATTGAGTTTATGGCTTGTACAATACACCCTGAAACAATATTACAAATAAGAAATTTAATTGAAAAACCATTGGTGTCCTCCGTCTCGAATCGCTTTCCGCACAATAGCCGCCCCATCGGAGACTACAGCAACTATTTTATCAGCAAGATTGTAGTGTTGAAGAGTTGATGAGAGATCTATCAAAAGATTTTCCGATGTATGTCTAGAATAAAAGATAAATGCAATAAATATGATAGGTATTGCCTGTCATAAAGCGCATTTGTCTTCAAAAGCAACGACTTTTTAACTCCCGTTTTGTCAAAGTAATGAGCTAAACGTAATGAGAAATGTAACATATTCAGAGAAATCATACCTGTATATGCAGAAAGCTGCATTGTGAAGTTTTTGGACGACCAAATATCAGTAGTCAACGCAATTTTGTCGGCTTCTTGCAGTGCCTCCTTTTTCTAGTACAATAAATTAGGATAGCGGTTGGGTAAAAAACTTACATTTGCTTCAACATTCGCATTCAGTAGATCAATCGACTCCATTAATCTTTTTCTTGTCAAAACATATCCCGGTTGTGTGATTTCCAAAGCTGAGCGAAAACTCGGAGAATCTATCTAAGCTATATTGAATATATGTCATATCCGATTTAGACTCAACAATAGTTTTAACAATTGCTGCGTTGGCACATATTTTTTGACACCAAAAGCAAGATCAAAAGCAATAGCTGCACCAAAATCCCGTAACTTTTGCCGAATTTAGCCATTCGTAAAAGTAAAAATATACTAAGCTTTAGTTTTATCATTGATCATTGATATCATTGATCATTGATGTCCGTTTCACAACACTCTATCTTTTGCTTTGTCAAAATGTTATACATAGTAATCGTTAATTTTTGATTGATTCAACGAAAATTCCCGCACTCAGAATCAGGTATCCGATTTATATTGAAGCTAAATCGGATAGAACATATATATAGGGTTATCTACAAGTTTTGGTGGTTTTAAAATCTATGGTTTCTTAAAGCAATACATAAATCAAACTAACCACAGAAAAAGCCACGTTGTTGGCTGAAAAGACTAAGGCCCATGCCTTGTCAAGACTCGCAATTTTTGAAGACGACAATACTGCCTTTGGCTCAAAAAACGTTTTTATTGCCACCTCTTTGTTAGAAGGGAGCTAAAAAACAGTTATGTTAATAACACTAGTCAACAACATACTAATGTTCCCAATTTATTTGCATGATATCTCTCCAAGTGTCTCTTTGGATTGCTGGTCGACGATTGATATTTGTACGTCGTTTCGCAGTAGTTACATCTTTCCATTTCGCCTTCTCGCGTGAAATGACGCCGATACTCGGATTCTACATTGCGTCCCATTCTCTAAAAAAATATGCTGGAGTACGTAAGTTTGAACAGTTTATACCTATGGCAAAACAAATGAAAGTAAACAAACAAAATGTTGCAAGTAAAGACAGACAAAGTGCAGAATGTTTCTTTTGAAAAACAATTGCGCAATTGCAAAAAAAAATCGAGGAAATATAAAATAAACTTTATTGCAAAATGCTTTTTATATATTTACTGTCAAGTTATTCAACCTAACCAACTGAATATTCAGTGCGAAAATAAAAACAAAAAAGTTTGGCGTAATTCGCATAAATTTATTGCGTTTTGCATTGGTTCACTTTATCGCACGTTATCGAATTTCGGTTCGGTTCGGTTCGGTTAAACCGAAAAAATTCGTTTTTCGGTTTGGTTCGGTTTCGGTTCAACCGAAAAGATGATTTTTTCGGTTCGGTTCGGTTTCGGTTCAACCGAAAAGATGATTTTTTCGGTTCGGTTCGGTTTCGGTTCAACCGAAAAATATTTTTTTTCGGTTCGGTTCGGTTAACCGAAACCGAAACCGCAACCGAACCGAAAAAGAACGTTTCCGGTTCAACTGAAACACAAGTCTATCGCAAAGCAAACTTGAAAACGCCCCTCCCTCCTATCCTTCCTATTTCCGCAGCCCAATTGCAGAATCCCTTCAAACATACTTCTTCTGAGCATATCCCCAGCTTCTGAAATCTTATCTCTTCTCAGACCTCTCCCTCTTCGCAATCAACAACTTCCCCTCCTTAAATTCACATTCATAATTGTTTCTGTTTTCTGGTCAATTGAAGTCACTCAAAACACCCAATTTCAGTCAGCCGAAACCCTTCCGATTGCCCATTCCGGATAAAGGAATTTATCATCGGCAGTTAATGCCTTTAAAAGTCAAACTAAGAATATTCAGTGAGTACAAGACGCCGATCAACGTTCAACCAAGACGACACAGCTACGAGCCCGGATATCGACAAAATCACGATCAATATGTGTAGTGTCAAACAGACAACAAGAAATAGTAGTTCATTGCGTTCTAGATCAAAATACAAAAATACAACTCAATCAATGAGTGAGTGCTTTGAAGAATCTGGCTCGAAAACCCAAAACTCACAGAAAGGCATCTGCTCATCTCAAACCAGAACCCAGCTCATATATAAGAAGGTGATTGATGATCATTGTTTGAAAGCATCTCTCTTCATTACGATCATTTAATAACTATCCACAATAATTTTTTCATTCAAACCCACACGGGTTTCTGCTTTTTCTGATCTCCGAAAAATCTCCGCCTACAAAACCAACAGTGAGAACAAAAAGGGAAAAAAAACTCAAAGACAAACCGACGAGTTGAGGGACGAGAAGAGCGACCTTCACGAAGAATTGTCAGTTTCCTCATGCTGATGTCCATTGATGTTCAACACGTTTATCTAATAGTCTATTCAGGAGCGAAGAGAGAGCAAAATACTTGCAGCTTTAGGCGGAATTCTGGATTTTTGGGAAAACTTTCTATCTGAGATTTTGAAAAAAAAATTCAGAAATAAAGAAAAAGATAACGTGCAGTTGTGTGTTTTCAGAAGATGGAATAAAAGGGGATTTATTGGTACTTGTCCACAGAAAAAAACATAAGACATTTATCAGAATTGAGAGCTCCTTTTGCAGATAAGACCCAACTGATAGGTAGGAGCATACCCCCGCCATTTCCCATCGTAGATCCCAAGCTGAAATGAGTTCATTTCTGATCGAAATCCTTTGATATAACACTTTGCCTTATTTCACAAAAAGAAAGACCCATTAGTTTCTATATATTTATTTATGTCTTTCAATATGAAAAATTCAACCTGCAGTCCAATCCAGAACAAATGATCCGAATCAACAGTTTTCGCTGAAATCAATATCGATTGTTTTTGGTTTATCAAATCAAACGACCATCCACCCCGATACAGATCCAAGAGATTCATGGTTCGATTTCTGAATTTCTTCGGAAAACATTAGTCCTTTAGACAAATGCTTAATCTATTTCCTTAAAAAACGCATAAATCTGCCCGCAACCTCTTGATTTCGGCCATTTTGTTTTCTCTTTCAAATTGTTAAGAAGGGAGTTGATTGGATTGAGTGAAATGGTTATTTGGGAGTCAAAAAACTGTTTTCTCAAGTCTCAGTACACAAGAGATACCAAATAGACTCACATTTGGGTTTCGGGGTGAGAGTTCTTGCTCTGCAACGCGTTGATTTTCCCTTCGAGCTCTCCAATCTTGGCTTTTCCGTCTCTCACTTCCGTATTTTGAGTTTTTCTGAAAGCAGTTCGCATATATTGAGCTTGTCAAAAAGAAAGTTACAAAATTAGTACAATTGTGCTTCGAGATCGTCGTTCTTCCTTTTCGTCTCGGCGATTTTCCCCATTAGATCCGTCTCCATTTGAGCCATTTTTGCTGTTAAAAGACTCATCTCGAAGTCTTTGTCCTTCGTTTCGTTCCGCTCTCTTGCGCTGAATACTCAAATTACTCACTACTCAAAATCCAAAAAAGATGAGCTTGAATTCTTCAAGATTTTTGATTTCGCCCACCTTTCCCTCTCAAGTCCGCTGATTTTTTTTCGGGCCTCG